TATATTATCAGCATAACAATTTAAGTTTAAGTGAAACCTAAAAATTTGTCATACACTAGCTGCATGATTTCCACGTTTGTGTAAAACCTGATCATGTGAACCAGCATAATTTTAAAAGCTTCCAAAAAGCATTCCATGTGTACAATGGAAGGAAATCTGAACTTTTATACAAATAACTCAGATTGTCAGTTTTTAAATCAATTGCCTTTTATATTCAAGGTTTTCAATGTGGTCTTAGACTTTGGGCTTCACTATATATTTAGGAGATCTTCAGATGTTTTTGTTGATGGTGCAGGAATGCAGTAGATCCCTTGGAAACACTACTGTACAGGTTATGACAACAGATCTGAATTCCTGACAAAATCGTTAGAATAATTCAACATAATGGCTATCATTTTTCTTCAAACACAATCTTAGTATGTCAGTGGTTTATACATCAACATCACAAATCCCATGGGGAAGTTCCCAACACAATGAGAAATTCCTTTCAGCACTTTTGTCTGGCTCTGTGAAATCTCTTTCTCCACTTTTGTGGATATACAGGGTAGCTTAGCTGAGGCATTTATGTAGAACTCAAATAAAATATTTTCTTTTAATGTGGCATACTGCATAAACCAGAAAGACAAAAGATACCTCATGTAGCTTAGAGAGAACTAGTTTGTTTTTAGAATTTCGTCTGTGTTTTGATTCTGTGGCCAAATCGGTCAGAAAAGACTTAAGTAAAATACACAGACGTCCATTTTAGCTGACACTAGTGTAGACCTGTTTTCTCAGGAAGGATTCAGGACAAAAACCTCTCCTGACAGGTCTCCAATGCTTAAGTTAACTGCTCCAAATGTCTCCGCCCTGGACAAGCAGGAGTTCCTGATAAACACTGCAAATAGGCCCTCATCATCCCACACATGTTTGAATAGTTCCAGTTGAGGGGCGATGTACAGAGCGCAGTAGATGTTGATATCCTACATCAAGTTCTTTTCGAAACCTCTGTAGGGTTTATTCGCATACGTATGGAGCTCATGAATGGAAATAAATGCGAGTAATTTGAAGTGGGCGAGCCAAAGCCATTAGAGCCTGTTGAATAAATTTGCAACCAGGGATAAATTTAGGAATCCCATGGACATCCTAACCATTCCTCTCTGTCTCCTACCAAATCATTTAAAATGGAATTAAGAGGCCAACTTCACTATGCGGTTGCACCATGTGTGGGCAAAATGGTTGAGTTTAAGTAATTAAATAGGCGTATTTTTAGACACGTCAATTTTTTCGCCAACATTTCTCAATGCTTCTGAGAAACAAAAACGGCCCATTAAGCATTAATGACTCTGAATTAATAAGTGCTAAGAGTTATTAATTCACAACCACTGTTGCTGGCTGGTGAACATTACAAGCCACCTAATGGCTAGCCTTCGTCTTCATCTTGTCCCAGATGTCTCGGCCCATCTGTATGTGTCATCAAGGCATGCCCATATACCCTAATGCTCCACAGAGCCTCATAAACTTAGGAGATTATTGACCCCAAACCTCAGTGTCCTTAAACCAAGCCAACTCTAAGCCGCTTCACTCCCAGAACTCACATTTGTTTCCATTTGGCACAGCAAAATGTTTTATGCTATATTACTTTTAGCCTGTTTGATCTTTATTTACTCTAAGTGTGATGTGGTGTCTGTGCCACATAGCAACAGTAACTAACATCATCCTGAGACCTTCTTAGCCCCTTGTCTGTGTTGGTGGAAGCATGCTGATTCAAATTATGAACGGTGTAATTAGCACATGTGAAAGCTTTATAGATCTACTTTATATTGCTTTTCATTTCTTTTCTGTAAACACTTAATCTCTGCTCTAAAACATAATGAGCTTCTTTGCTGAGGAACCTTAGGTGACCTTCACATCAGGAGCATGCCTATGATGCCTTAAAATCCTACCTCCGTAGACAGCTCACTAGGTCTTGGCATAGAGCAAATAACTAATAACTAAAAAAAAAGGATCAGTTTAAGCATGGAGCCCCGCATCACACAGCAAGACCTTTTTTAAAATATAAATAAAAGTTAGCAGATTGTTACTGTACAAAGCAGACGCTTCAGCTACAGCAGCCCGCATCTGTTTCAAAACATATATATCGAAAATGGCCTGCCCGTCAGCCAACCCTCTTGCAAGGTGTCTGCGTACTATTCTTAGACCTTAGTCGCTTCTAATTGAAACAGTGCGACGAGCTGTTGATTGTTTTCAACAGATACATCACTTCATGTTGCTCGCTGGCTTTTTCCTCTGTCGTAGGGGTGCGGGTGGGAAGTGCAAATGATTGAAAGGATGTGACAGTTTGGTGGGCATCATTATGGTTGTGTCAGACGATAGTGATTTCCAGTCATAATGCATTAGGTTCACTCTGACAGAGTGCTCAACTCCTTTCCCCTCTAACCGGCCGGGCCAAACAAGTACATTCACTTCAGCAATAAACACTATGGCTAGTGATCAGTGATCATGGTTCTATACATCTGTAGGCCTTTAACTTATGACTATAATAGTTTACAGTCAACTTGCACCAACTTAAATCTGTTCAGTTATTCATTGCTTTAAGCATTGCTTATTCACCCATTCATTTGTTGCTGTATCTGTTTGTTTATAAATCATGACTGTTTTTGTGTGCTAGTATATTATACTGCTCTTTTTGTAATTGTGGAATTTCTACCTTTGTCCTGTTAGCAACAATCCTGCACATAGATACTACCTAGCAACAGACCCAATGACAGGTCAGCTGTATATTTCGGACACCAACTCACGACGGATCTTCAGGCCTAAAGCCCTGACGGGAACCAAAGAGCTGCTGCAGAACGCAGAGGTTGTGGCAGGGACCGGAGAGCAGTGTTTGCCGTTTGACGAGGCTCGATGTGGGGATGGAGGCAAGGCCACTGAGGCGCTACTGCTGGGACCCAAAGGTAAAGAGACTCGCTAATCAATATGGACACTAGCTGAACACGACACACTTCTGTTCTCTCTCACACACACAAATAGCATAAAAACTCTTTTTGATATTAAAGTAATATTGGTTTAGTTAAACTTATCAACACAGCAACAGCCAGCTATTAAGTAGTTCACACAGACACATACATTTCTGTGAAAGAACTGGAGAGGCCTGTGATCCTCACTGGATCAGAGCGCCAGAGGGTTCAGTTCCTTTCCTCTTGGTTTTAGCTCTGACTAGATAAAAAAAAAACTGCTTCCTGAATATTACTTGCACTCAACATCACTCTTAGCTCAGGAATAATTCACCACCCAAAAGCACATTGTGAATTATTCACCAAGTGCCGCGTCTTCAGTGACCTGGAAACCACAGGGGCAAGCGTGACATGTGTACCAGTCGTGTTTCGCCTGTTTGCAGGTGCAGTGTGTGTGTCTATTTGCAGCTGTCACATCTGCCCCCTCTCTACATTACAGGCATTGCTGTGGATAAGAATGGGTTCATCTACTTTGTGGATGGTACCATGATCAGGAAAGTAGACCGGAATGGCATCATCTCAACACTGCTGGGGTCTAATGACCTCACATCTGCTCGTCCTCTGACCTGTGATACCAGCATGCATATCGGACAGGTATTCATTCATACTCACCTGCTCTATGTCACTGTTTAATGCACTTCAATCTTAAATATTAATTTGTCTATTTTTGCTGCCACAAACGAAAAACTGCAGCACTGCTAACCTGAATGTAGTATGATTTATGGGGTTGAATTCAGTCCAGTTATGCCACTGGGCTAAAACAAAATATTAGAGGGCAGAAAGGCCAAACTTCGATTTATGTTTCTCAGTACAAAGATTCAGCTATTCAAGCCTGATCCTCTGGCTTCATCACTGAAGTGGTGTTAGGATGAGTGGCCTCGTTTCAAAGATAAAAGCAAAGGCTGGAAGCAATTGAAACTATTGCCTCATTTGAACTGGAAGGTTTCATGTTGTCCCTAATAGAGTTTTTCAAATGAGATTTGTGAGATTAATTATTAAAAAATGCAGTATTCTTTTTACATTTTAATATTACTTTGTATTTGTTTTATGATAATTATTAAACGATTTTACTACCAGAGGAGCCCTATAAGTAACAGTTTACTATTCAAAAGACCACAACACAGAGCTCTAGAGCTTGCAGACTTCAAGCTGAATTAGTTTGTTTTTCCAGCCAACCACTTATAGTAGACTGCACTATAACCTACTATCTTATCCACTAACCTCAAGACATACTTTAAGGCCCAAATCAGAAACAAAAAGACTGAGCTCAGCCCTCTGTGGTAGCCTCCACCCAAACGAAAGCCAGAGAAACTTCCTTGAAGACCTGGAGCTCCCCCCTCTGGCTGCTCTCCCTCTGGTGCTAAATGCATCTAATCACCTGAGCTCAGAGAGAAAACATATCATCCATTATAATTTCCTCCGTTAGACACAAATAAAGTAATAGTACAAAACATGATGAACATGAGATGAAGACTACAGTCAAATCAGTAGGCTAATAAAAGCTCTTTTATTGTACATGGACTGGTTTGCTTCATGGGGGCCATGCTGAGATCACATAATCAGCTGAATACTCCTAGTTTTATATAAGTACCCCACTATTATAGAGCACCTTCTGGAATAAATTAATCATGGTTGACTGCAAATAGAATATGTCTTCAATGGTAATAGCTGAAAACATATACGTGATGCTACATTAATGCTGTTGGGTCTCAGAGCAAGTCCAAGGTGATTGCCATAGTAGCCAGTGCAACAAAAAAGGAATGATGGTCTTTGGAAACACATCTCTATTGTGGGTGTGTGAGTAGGACTCTTTTTTTTTTTTACCTGCAGCTTTATTATGAAGAGGGTCTTTTGCTTGAAAAGGGCTGATATGCAGTGTTTAGTAAACTTTCTCATCCACATTCTTAGGCAGAATCCATCCTCCCCACACTTTCTGTTTTCTGGTCTCCCCACCAACCCCATTTGTCTCTGTCTAAGTGATGGAGGTTGGGGATGAGACATAAGGCTGTTGTCTGACATACCCTTGGGTCCAGGCTCAGTGAAGCTCAATGAGGTATGGACAGACCCAGACAGTTGGTGTCAGCCTCACAATTACCCAAACGTTTGCTCTTGCGAGTCATCGATGTGCATCATTAAGAATATATACAGCTCAGCCTACACAACTGTCACCTACCTCAGTAAGGCCAATAGGGACAGCAGAAAATTACTCAAGTGCTCTTCAAGGAAATCTTGGGTTCACTCAGGGTTTTAAAACGTTCAGTCTAAATCAAGTTCATCCCCAGAGCATATAAAAGTACTCTGTCTGCTTCTGAGGCTACCAAGTTGGCCTTTTGCATATCAGGTGGGGACCTGAGAGTTGATAAAACATTTTAGGTGGCATGTTGTGGAGCACCCAAGTAAAATCCGTTTACCCTGAGTAAAATCTGGTCTTGACTTCATGCATTATGCAGAAGGTGGAATCACAGGGCCATGGCTAAGCAGAGAAAGCTTTTATCCACAGGAGCTGCTGTAGTTCAGAACCATTACGCTTTAATGTGGTGCTCTTTAAAGACGCTTAACCTGCCTGTGTGGCCAGGGTGCAGGTTCAGAGCAGGAAGAGAACCTGGTCTAGGAATGTTCCAGTCATGCCATATAAGTTGATTTCATTGAGAATAAGTCTCAATGAATCCACTCAAAGCTTTAGGAACAGGCTGACAATTATATTGTCAGCATATATTTGCAAGAGTGAGTTATAGATTATGCCATTGCATAACTTTCCCTCACTGGCACTTGGCAGCGTTATTGAAGTTGTCGAGACTGTGAAGAAATATTGAAACCGGATAAATCAGACAGACAAGACAATGCATGATCAAGAGAAGAATTCTTATGCTTTCTCAGTATAAACGATGTCTGAAAGAAGGCGTGTGCTGGGGAACAATTTTATTTTTATTAATAGACGTCCAGACAAGATTGTCCTTTCAAGCCATCTTTAAAAGTCTGGTTGAGGCCAGTCCTCCATGCGGACAGTGTTGTTCTTGGTGTGCTTTTCTTTGCCAGACAGTTGTTCCCTGTAGGCGCTGAGGAATTGCATCCCGTTGCAAAATAAATGACCCAGCGACAGGCAAATCGAATGAACTAGAGGCACCCAATGTATTAAGCCTCCAAAGTAACGGATCCTTCTTCATCAGTGTCAGACCCAAACATCAACTGCGCACTGAGTGAGAGAGCAAGCGGGAGATGTAATAACATGTTTTTGTCTGTGTGTATATCTATGCAAGATTCCGTAAGTGATCCACCTCCTTATTTGATTTGTCCTCTCTGCAGGTGCGTTTAGAGTGGCCCACAGACCTGGCCATCAACCCTATGGACAACTCCATCTATGTGCTTGACAACAATGTTGTACTGCAGATAACCGAGAACAGGCAAGTGCGCATTGTGGCAGGCAGACCTATGCATTGCCAGGTGCCGGGCATCGAGTACACCATGGGAAAGCGTGCCATCCAGACCACTCTAGAAGGTGCAACAGCCATCGCTCTGTCCTACAGCGGAGTCCTCTATATTGCCGAGACGGATGAAAAGAAGATCAACCGCATCAGACAAGTCAGCACAGATGGCGAGATTTCTCATTTGGCAGGAGCGCCCTCCGACTGCGACTGCAAGAACGACGCTAACTGTGACTGTTACCAGACAGGCGATGGGTATGCCAAAGACGCAAGGCTAAATGCTCCTTCCTCTCTGGTGGTCTCTCCTGACGGAACACTCTACGTAGCTGACCTGGGAAACATTCGAATCCGTGCCATACGTCACAATCGACCTCCACAAGGCTCTTCGGGTCTTTATGAAGTTGCTTCACCTGCTTCTCAAGAGCTCTACGTGTTTGACTCCAATGGAACTCATCAGTATACTATGAGCTTGGTCACTGGTGACTACAAGTACAACTTCAGCTATAGCAATGAGGATGATATCACCGCTGTAACAGATAGCAGTGGAAATACACTTCGGGTTCGTCGAGACCCCAATCGAATGCCAGTGCGTATTGTTGCCCCTGACAAACAAGTTATTTGGCTGACGATTGGTACAAATGGAGGGCTTAAGACCCTCACAGCTCTGGGGCAGGAGTTGGTCCTCTTCACCTACCATGGCAACAGTGGCCTGCTAGCCACCAAGAGCATCCAAATTGGCTGGACCACATTTTATGAGTGAGTGCTTCTATCAACCCTTTACAGAGCACATCTCTAAACCTTCCTTATTATTATTATTAGATCTTTTTATTAGTATATTTTTAAAGGTTTATGCAGTTCTGACATTTTGTATAGATTGTTGTTGTAGTGCACATTCCTGCTGTAGGATTTAATGCTTTTCTAAGTCCTCTCCTTCAGCAAAAGTGTAGCCTGTAGTTACGAAACCTACCATTTATTTCACCACATGCTATTTAGAGCATGGTGAAAATGCTAAATGAATTTGTATGACATTTTCCGGCTGGTGGTGTACCAAAAGGTTTTGCATAATGCCAGTCTGGGGTAGGTCCTTCTGGCCAACATGTTGGACACAGTGTCTGTTCACCCACCCTGCCATAACCACAAAGACACTGCAGGCATTGACAGGTATTGACAGGCCTTAACGATTGTGACTTCGATGAGACAAGTCTTTATTATATTATTATGTGGGTAAGGATTGATCCCCATTTTATATAGAAATGTCCTCAGGCCAGTTGTGAGTGTGCAAGGCAACTCAAACTAGCCAGCATTTGTTAAAAAGTAACCCTATATTCAAGTTGTTCTTCACTTTATACTTTTTTGGGCTCGTGTATACAAATTTGATCTCTGTCAGATAGCATACATACAAAGGTTTCAGAGGACTCACTCCAAACCGTACATGCACGCTAGTCTGCTTAATGTCATTCCATCATGAGAACTGCTGACCGCATGTCAGTGAGGTCCAATTGCAAAAGGTGTTCTAATGTCATTTTTGCCTTGCAGCTATGACAGCGAGGGACGTCTGACGAATGTGACATTCCCCACTGGGGTTATCACCAGTCTAATCGGGGAGATGGACAGAGCCCTAACAGTGGACATTGAGACCTCAGGACGAGATGACGATGTCAGCATCACCACCAACCTTTCTTCCATTGACTCGTTTTACACATTAGTTCAAGGTGCGGCAAGTCTCTGCTGTATTATCATTATTAAGGCTTTATAAACTGACCTGTTGCTTTAAGTCTTGGAAATGTTCCACACTGCTAATCAAGCTGTAGCTCAGGTTAAATCAATATTAATGACCAAACACTCATTACTCATTCATTAGGGGTAAAATTGTCAGATGGTAATTTATAGTTTCACTATAATCACAGCACCACAGGGAATGAAAACACACTGGGCAGCTGGGCTCTGAAATAATACATCTGCATAACACACTTTAAAGTGTGTAATTCTTTTGATGTTGAAATACTTTTAATAACCTTAACCCAGCTTAATATGCAAAGACAACAAGTAATTACTTTGTAGGTTGATTTCCATTAAAAGTTTAAACATTGTGGCGTTATCAAAACATCTCAACCAGTGGCCTGAGTTCGGAACTGGACTGTCTGTTTTTCCGACCAGTTTCAGATGGGGAAACCTGCTTAAGAAGTTATTTTTGCAATTTTGTTTGATGATGCAGAAATTACACACTTCAGGTTTATAGAGTGAGGTAACAGGCAGCAATATGGTGACTAAATGTGAATTTGGGAAAAGTCATTAGATTAAAGGGAATTTAATTAGATTAAAGAAGATTATGTATTTATACGTTTTGCAGCGCAATCATAGCACAAACCAAAGAAATGAATGTCTTTCTCATGGGGTTTTCTTTTTACAAATCCTCTTCTAACATCCTTAACCAAATATGATGTGACTTGAGAATAAAAATCAAGGTGGTGATTCTGACACACTGAATTCACAGTCTTAACATAATCCCCATGAACTCTCTCTTCTTGTGCTTTTTTTCCCCACTACTTCTCGTTTCACTTTTTTGTTTTCCTCCTCATAGATCAACTAAGAAACAGCTACCAGGTGGGCTATGATAACTCTATGAGGGTCATCTATGCCAATGGAATGGACTCTCACTTCCAGACCGAGCCTCATATTCTTGCAGGCGCATCCAACCCGACAGTGGCCAGAAGAAACATGACCCTGCCTGGAGAGAATGGACAGAACTTGGTGGAGTGGCGCTTCAGAAAAGAACAGAACAGGGGGAAAGTCGTAGTATTCGGCAGGAAACTCAGGGTATGTAAAAAATTTAATTTAGAAGACTCTTTGTAAAGAGTGTTTACTAGTGTAGTCAGAATAATACACGACAGCTGTAGAATACTCTTCATAACACTCTATCATAAAACTCCTGCTGGCTTGACTGAGTTGAGAGTTGTAAATTATGGGAAATTAAAATGTGTTATTATTTCTACAAACACTGAAAAAGAAGCTTCATCTTTGATCGTAACTGGCGTAACCCTCATATCCACATTGCTATTTGAACTAGAACTAATTCTGACATTACACAACCCACAGACACATATTAGAAAATGGCTTTAGAAAAGGCTTTTGTCTAGTCATCAACGGTGACTATATCTTTTCTAAATTCTCTTATTTTTCTCTATATTCTTTTGTAATGAAGAGCAGCTGAATTGTCCTCTGTTTTTCTCCCTCCACTTTCATTTGTTCCACAAAAGAAGCAGGTCATCTCAGAGCATCAATAAAGTAACCCTGATTCTTATATGGGAAACTGCTCTGGCATTTCAAAGCCTCTGAGTTGCAAAAAAATATAATATAATTTAATTTAATGAGACTAGGAGACAGATTGAAAGTGTGTTAGCGACCAGTTTGTATGCAACTTCTATTCAGTCCTCAAATGTAACTGAAATTGGGGAAATCAACCCTACCAAAAAATATTATACTTCTTAGCAATGAATGTTATAATCAATATAAATATTCTGTTTTCCTATCGTAAAGGTCAACGGTAGAAACCTGCTGTCTGTGGATTATGACCGCTCACTGCGCACAGAGAAAATATATGACGATCATCGAAAGTTCCTTCTGAAGATTGTGTATGATGCCTCTGGTTATCCTACACTGTGGGTGCCCAGCAGTAAGCTGATGTCTGTCAACCTCACCTATTCCAGCACTGGTCAGGTCACTAGCATTCAGAGAGGCCCCACAGTCGAGAGGGTAGAATACGACAGCCAGGGACGCATAGTCTCCAGAACCTTTGCTGATGGCAAAACCTGGAGTTACACCTATTTGGACAAGGTGAGTATTGTGAATTTTTCTTAAAGTAGGTGGTCCTGTTATATCACAAGATTTGCTGGAGTGTGTTGAATATGTGTTGCTTTATTGTCAGAAATTTCCAAGAGATATTTTTGCAAGAATGTTCAAATAGTCTGAATTCAGATATTCTACAGATATAAATTAATTGACAGTATTTGAAAATTACTAAATTCCTTGTGTCAAACATAGCACGATATGCTACCACAAATGTAGGGGGAAAATGTATTGGCCCTAAGGGTAAATGCTTTTATGGTGCTTGGCTATTGAAATTTTCTACTTTCCTTGTATGGAAGGGGAGCCTGGACATTCTTCCTAAAAATGTTGTGTTTCATGCCAGAACACTCTAGGGTAGAAACAACATGGGAGTGGGTTATGGCTGTGTGAACCCATTTCTGGGTGAACTGTTTCTTACAGTTCAAGGTGTCCACAGTGCTCCACCAGATTTACTGATGGTTACTCCCTTTGAATTGGTTCTCCAGAAGCACACCATTATAACTGTCAGCAGTACAAATATGAAGTTTGTTGGTCCACAGAAAGCTGAGAAATAGCTATAGAAAGACCCCTAGTTATCCAGGGGTCAGAAATTTCTGTGGAACTATGTGGGTAAGTTTATAGACTCCAGAAACTGGTGTGTGCCTAGAGGGAGAGAAACTGGATGTTGTGGATGTTTCTTGTGAGCGAAATGGCTTAGTAAGGTCTCATAGACAAAGTTAGAGTCTCAAAATGAGACCACAGGGAAAACTCAGGGTTTGAGCTCAGCCTAATGATACCCTAAAAAAAGAGACAAAGAGTGATATGAAAAGAATAACTTACACTTCCAACCCTACTTACAGGGCATCACACCTTTTTCGCTGCTGTATGTGATTACCCTTGTAATTCTTCTAATTCTTCTTAAAAAAGTTTTGTTTGTGGACATTTAAATATGACAAAATATAAGGTTTTTACAGAGTTTGAGATGTCAGCTGGATGATAAAGTGAGTTTCCTCCAAGAGCGCACTCAGCTGGAACCACAAAAGTTTTGTGGAAAGAAAAACCACTGTGTAAATGTGTAGATTAAATATGAGAGGATATCAAACATATGCCACCAGCAGTGCCTAGGGAACTAGAATAATGTCTGTCCAAGTATGGATGACAAGGTGAAGGCTTCTCAAAGGTAGACACTCACTGTAGCAACAAACTCTGTAAAAACCTTATATTTTGTCATATTTAAATGTCCACAAACAAAACTTTTTTGAGATGTCAGCTGGATGATAAAGTGAGTTTCCTCCAAGAGCGCACTCAGCTGGAACCACAAAAGTTTTGTGGAAAGAAAAACCACTGTGTAAATGTGTAGATTAAATATGAGAGGATATCAAACATATGCCACCAGCAGTGCCTAGGGAACTAGAATAATGTCTGTCCAAGTATGGATGACAAGGTGAAGTCTTCTCAAAGGTAGACACTCACTGTAGCAATTCCCCAAGATGGAGAGGCCTCTAAGGATAGCCCTCCAAATCTGCAGACGTCAGTCAGTGTGTGTGTATTTTACCAGGAAAGACATGAATATACGTGGAGGGATGCGGCAGCTCTGAATGCCACAGTCTCAGATTCATTCAGCGAAAGGTTCTGGGGATGTCAGTACTTAAGCCCACAGTGAAAAACACTTATTTATCATCCTTTGCTTCAACTCACCTCTCACATTGTCCAACAAGACCCAAAACAGACACAGAATAAACATGAGACCTCAGTCATTCATAACTCCAAGACAACTTGCTGACTTTGTTTACCTCAAGTTTCAAGCTTAGCATACAGATGGATTTTAAAACCCCTTATTTTTATTGATGCTCCGGTTCCACAGTATGCAGAGCACGAAAACAGTTTTCAACCCACCTTATTGGGATAAGTATGGGCAAATCAAGAGGCTAAAGCCAGTAATTGCAGAGCATTTTATATTTATGCAGCCATGCACATTCAGAAGACCTGCATTTAGAAGCTTGAGGGTCAAAAAGAACTCAATTAGGCAAAGAAATAATCACTAAATGGAGCGTTAATACCTACTTTTACATTCCATTTGCATTTTATTAGTATGTAAGAAATGTATGAACGAGTACTGAATTGTTTAGGTTAATTTCTCCTCTCTCCCACCTTTTGATTTGTAGTCCATGGTGCTGCTTTTACACAGCCAGCGGCAGTACATCTTTGATTACGATCTGCAGGATCGACTCTCCGCCATCACTATGCCAAGTGTGGCCCGTCACACCATGCAAACTATCCGCTCTGTCGGCTACTACCGCAACATCTACAATCCGCCTGAAAGTAATGCCTCAGTTACGGTGGACTACAGTGAGGACGGCCAGCTCTTGCGGGTGGCACACTTGGGCACTGGCCGGCGTGTCCTCTATAAGTATCGGAGACAGAACAAGCTGTCCGAGATCCTATATGACAGCACACGGGTCAGCTTCACCTACGATGAGACAGCAGGTGTGCTGAAAACTGTCAACCTACAGAGTGAGGGTTTCATTTGTTCTATCAGATATCGACAGATAGGTCCACTGGTGGACCGGCAGATATTCCGCTTCAGTGAGGACGGCATGGTCAACGCCCGCTTTGACTACACCTATGACAATAGCTTCCGAGTCACCAGCATGCAAGGAGTCATCAACGAGACCCCGCTTCCAATAGATCTTTATCAGTTCGACGACATTTCCGGCAAGGTTGAGCAGTTTGGAAAATTCGGCGTCATCTATTACGACATTAACCAGATCATATCAACAGCTGTCATGACCTATACAAAGCACTTTGATGTCCATGGCCGCATCAAGGAGATCCAGTATGAGATCTTCCGCTCCCTCATGTATTGGATCACTATCCAGTATGACAACATGGGCCGTGTCACCAGTCTGGGCCAGCACCTTCAGTTCTTCTATGCGGACCTCAACTACCCGACACGCATCACCCATGTCTACAACCACTCCAGCTCTGAAATCACCTCGCTCTACTATGACCTACAAGGCCATCTGTTTGCCATGGAGATCAGCAGTGGCGAGGAGTTTTACATCGCTTGTGACAACACAGGAACACCACTCGCAGTCTTCAGCAGCAATGGGCTTCTCCTCAAGCAGGTGCAATATACTGCTTATGGAGAGATCTATTTTGACTCTAACCCTGACTTTCACTTGGTTATTGGATTCCATGGTGGCCTATATGACCCTTTAACAAGAGTATGAGATCTTCCGCTCCCTCATGTATTGGATCACTATCCAGTATGACAACATGGGCCGTGTCACCAAAAGAGAAATAAAGATCGGCCCTTTTGCCAACACTACCAAATATGGCTATGAATACGATGTGGACGGGCAGCTGCAGACAGTCTACCTGAATGAGAAAATGATGTGGCGGTATAATTACGACCTGAACGGCAACCTACACCTGCTGAACCCTGGCAACAGTGCACGACTCACTCCCCTCCGCTATGACTTACGAGACCGCATCACGCGGCTGGGCGACGCGCAGTATCGGATGGACGAAGATGGCTTTCTGCGCCAAAGGGGTGCGGAGATCTTTGAGTACAACTCCAAGGGCCTCTTGGTACGGGTGCATAGTAAAGCCAGTGGCTGGACCATCCAGTACCGCTACGATGGGCTAGGAAGACGCCTGGCCTCTCGCAACAGTCTGGGCCAGCACCTTCAGTTCTTCTATGCGGACCTCAACTACCCGACACGCATCACCCATGTCTACAACCACTCCAGCTCTGAAATCACCTCGCTCTACTATGACCTACAAGGCCATCTGTTTGCCATGGAGATCAGCAGTGGCGAGGAGTTTTACATCGATTTGCGGTTCATAGATTTCATAGATTCATAGATCTGAAAGAGAGACGTACATGCGTTTTCTTTGCATATGTTCATTCTATGAATCACACGTACGCATATTTGAGAGATCATCGTAAGCTCAAATTTAGGATGGTTTCTGCGCAACATTTTATAAATGAGGCTCTTAGTGTTTACAAATATGTCCAGATAAATAATTAGAATATGTGCTTTGTCTTTTTTGGCTCACTTTAGTCAATCTCAGGGGTCCAGCAGGAGGTTATGAGGCAGGCCAAGGCTTTCCTGTCTTTTGAGAGGATGCCAGAGATCCAGTTAAGCCGACGATGTTCAAGCCGTGAAAAACCTTGGCTGTGGTTCGCCACAGTCAAATCCCTCATTGGTAAAGGTGTGATGCTTGCCATTACCAGTAAGGGCCAGGTGGCCACCAACGCACTGAACATAGCAAATGAGGACTGCATTAAAGTGGCCACTGTCCTCAACAATGCCTTCTATCTAGAGGATCTGCACTTCACAGTGGAAGGTCGCGACACGCACTACTTCATAAAGACCAGCCTGCCTGAGAGTGACCTGGGTGCCCTGCGACTCACCAGCGGTCGCAAGAGTCTAGAAAACGGTGTCAACGTAACAGTGTCACAGTCCACCACTGTGGTCAATGGACGGACACGTCGCTTCGCAGATGTGGAGTTGCAGTACGGCGCGTTGGCTCTGCATGTGCGCTATGGCATGACACTGGATGAGGAGAAGGCACGTGTCCTAGAGCAGGCCCGCCAGAGAGCACTGTCAAGTGCGTGGGCACGGGAGCAGCAGCGCGTACGTGACGGGGAGGAGGGAGTGCGTCTTTGGACAGAGGGGGAGAAGAGGCAGTTGCTCAGCTCTGGGAAGGTGTTGGGTTACGACGGCTACTATGTACTATCAGTGGAGCAGTACCCTGAACTGGCCGACAGTGCCAACAATATCCAGTTCCTGAGGCAGAGTGAGATTGGGAAGAGGTAACAGTCTGCACAGCACAGACTGTTCAAAAGACAACTGCCCCTCTGCTCCACAAGCTCCTCTCTCCCGTGTACACACTCCCAGAGCTCCTATCCCAGAGACTAAAGGGAAGGGGTTTATGTTAGAGAAGTGAGGAGTTGTGCCTAAGTGCCACACACACTGCAGTTATACAGAAAAAACCTGAGGCACTTCCCCTCATTGACTGAACACACCCCCATCCTACATATTTGTTCACATTATTGCATTGAATGGATAATGGACTCTCTAAGAGAGCAACCCAAGAAAAAACTGTTATGATTTGTTTTTCTTTTCTTTTTTTTGGCTTTTTATATAAAACCTTAAAGGTGACTTGGTCAGAGATAAAATTGAGAGAAAAAGGCAAATGTGTTTACATGTGAAGACCACTGCACCCAGATGAAATAATACAATGCCTTTTTCATAAGGCAGTGACTGTAATTCAGTGGTTCGTACCGTCCTTGTTCTCAGCAACATGTTTTGTCAGCTAGTGAGGACTGAGGTTTCAGACTGTGAGCTAGTTGATCGTTTCTCTTCTGCTTGAGGGACACAGTTGTGGTTCATATAATCAAATCTGAGTGTACAATCTCATTCCTGAACCAACCCAGGTGGTGAATAGAGCGGAAACTGACAGAACAAAATATATAAATATATATCTCATAACTGACCGGTACTTTGACAAGAGATGTTAGAATATCTTTATGGATTTTTTTTTTAAAGTAAAAAAATTCCACTTATCCGTACAACAATATTAGTCGCAGAGAAAGTAATTTATGTACAGTGTTTATACATAAAAATAAAATCTTACAAATATTGAGACTTTTTCGTCTTGTCATGCATTACTGTTTATACTCATGAATTTTAATATTTTATCTTATCGAAATTTGTGGTAATGCTAACTGAAATAAAATCAGCTGTACTGTGTCATTGAATCCTCAACATTGTTTTTCTTCTCTTTCCATCCTCTGAAACTGATTGTTGCCATTTTTATTTCTATTTCTCTCTTTTTCAGATTGTCTAAATACGTTCGGTGGTTTCATGGTGTTACTGCCTCTGTAATCAACAATAGGTTTAGAGTAGCTGTTTTCCAGTTATGAGATGAGTAAATACTACTCAAATACTAAAAACCCAACAAGGGTTTAGTAATTTGCCAGAAATTATTCCTTTACAGTAATGTCATGGTATTGTTCTGTCTTTAATTGGAATGAGTTTCAAGCTTAACGCTTTTTAAAGACTTTCTGTCCAGATATACGAGTTCAAGCTTTAGCTTCGCTTTCTATCCAGAGATAAGATTTGTTTTTTTCCAAAAAGTTTCCGCTCTTTTTAATGTGTTTAGATGAAGGATTTATCACACTAACATTAATGTGTGTTGCCACTGGCAGCATGGGAGATAAATAACTTGCATGGAGTTTATACCCCTGCATTTTCACCATGACTAAAAACTCCCTTGACAAGGAGAAACACTCAAACTCTCTTGAATCAAAAGGGTCATTAGACAGCAGAGATAGTGTGGCTTTTTCTCACTTTACACAGACATTGCCCTATGATCATGTTATGATGCCAGAAATAAAAAATGTTTTGCATGGGGCTGAATTTATGTAACTGAAATAAGTGCTAAAGCAGAAATTTACTGAGCACTCATTATGAAGTGAACAGTTACCTTAAAAGAGAACTCCACCATCATCCATATGAAGGAGATTGATTTAGGATTTCTTTTTCTTTAAAATATATGACAACAAATGTATTCATCTAAGAGCACCACAAACATTAAAGTGATCAAAAGTCACCCCAAAAGGGAAAAAAAAAAATAATAATTTGTATGCCTAAATGGACTGCCTCCTTCAGATACTGTTTTTGTAAAGGCTTTTTAAAGATTGTATAAAATAAAATGTTCTGACTAATGAATGAGAAAATATTGTTTCCATTTTAGTTTGTTGTTTTCCTATGAAAAGTTTTTAAATCAATCATGTAATTGTACGGTGGAGCCTATTTTTCTATTCATGAGTGAATGGAGGTCTGAAGGGGATGTTACCCACCTGTGGGCCTGTGAGGTTTTGTTTGGGATTCTTCAGTTATGGACTGATCTGAGCTTGTTGTTAGGGTGAACTTTTCCCCCTTGAAAGAGATAAAAAAGGTGAGCACTTCAACAAACACTAGTAATAACCAGAACAAGAACCACTGCAATATTAAAGTGTTTGCCCTAAAAGGTCTACACAGATTCTCTGAGTTGCTCTGCGATACAGTCAAGTTATTTGTTGGCGTAAGGAGAGGCCACTGTACTCAATTGGTGTGTATGGACAAATTCCAATTTTCAACATAGTCAAAATACTCTTATTAAAACCTAAAAGTAGATTTGGGGGAAACGTGTTACAGAGTAGCAGTGAAGATACAAATGTCTGTGAGAGAAGTGAGAACTGAAAACGTCCTGATATGTTTGCTATCGATTGCATGCATACAGTGTAAACCCAATGAATCAAAGGAAGGTCACTTTTTTCCTTACAGCATATTAGTGCCAATATGTATGTGGTCTGTTTTGATATTTCTTTGCACTACAATGTATATGTTGAAGATGATGATGCCTCTACATTATTGCAGTCGTCACGTCTCTGGTCTGATCTGAGGGAGATTGTAAAAACTGGTTATTTTTCCTAAATGAAAAGGAAAGATGCCTGTACAGAAAATCATCAGTATTTAATTTAATGCTTTCGAAAAAATGCCATTATCATCGCACAGTTTACAGTCACTTAACAGTAACGTTTTCTCATATCAGATCTGATGAACCTAAAATGTGTGCATTGTGTGACTGAATTTGTCGGAGTACTGAGAATTTGAAAATGCAGTGTTTGATTAGCTTTGTTGCTATTGCGACAAATCAACCATTGTTTTTTGTTAAATAACTTTGTTTTTGAGCAGCCTCTACATTTTGTGTATTTTGTATTATCTGTTTTACAAACTTGTTCCAAACAATTACTACAAACTGAAGTGGTTTTACCTGTAAATTCAATAACTTATCTTACAATCTCTCAATTGTAATGAGGATTTAGAGGAAGTTGTATTACTGATGTTATGTTATTTGTATTTGTTATTTGTTATTTGCTTTTGTATTGTTTTATAGCCACGCAGCATCTCAAAAAAAAAAAAGCTCATGATTTCCGTTTGATAGACACGTCTGTTTAGAGTGCAATTAAAGTGCAATTTTGATGTAATCTAAACTAGGTCACTGCTGGATTCATTACCTTTTATCTTCAACATGTTTAATGCTCCACAGAGATCAATCATAAAAATAAAATGTAATATTCAACAAAGTTGTGTATTTATTAATACATTACACAAATGTGACCACATATCTTACTCATTAAGCGAATCAGCAGAGAAAAGCAATAGAGCAGTGGCTCTCAGACTGTAGGAGGCACGTAGTGCGACCCAGGAAATGTACACTATTAAAAAATAATTTGATATAATGTCTTGTTACTATTGTGGCGCTTGTGTTTTTTAGATGCTGGGGATTTTCACAGATCTGCAAAGGGCCAATAAAGAAACTAAAGGGGCAGGGATATTAATATTAAAGCAAATGTGGCATTAGGGTTGTTACTATCCCTAATTCTGACATTCACACACCATCTTGTCATTCCAAACCTTTATGATATTTTACTGCGAAAGACACTGACAAACTACATTGGATGCATACAGGTTTGAAACGATAATGCTAAAAAAAGAAAAGAAAAGAAAAAAAACACACAGAAAACCTGTTTTCTTTTCTAATTACATTCCACATTCCTGTAGCTCAAACCTTAGAGTATGGTGCTAGCAGTGCCAATCTCACAGGTTCGCATAAATGTAATTTAATTGAATAGAAGTTCAATATCCACAACAGAACATATAAAACAGAAATTAAAGAAATATCATCACAAAACAAAGCCTGACAGGATAATAAATATGAAATTACATCTTACATAGAAAGCATGTGTGTGTGAAATAGTTAGGAAATCACTCATGATTCTGTTTCGTGATTCTGTATAATTTATCAATTATCCATATGTTTCAGAACTGATGGAGAGAAAAGTGTCTCAGATTTGATCCAGCACATTCCAATAATACATGTTTCATCTTACATAGCTCTACTGGAAGCAGCCTAGAAACTCAGGGCCAAAGATTAATGAGTAAGTCTGATTCTCTACTACAGCCAATCACGTATACCTGACAACCGAACTTCACCAATCCACACTCTTAACAAGCCTTATCCACCTCACACAGCAGTCTGTGCCCCTCATTCCTCTACTGTATCAGTAAAACACCGCCCTACAGTCAGACTTCATTTTTATGAAGCAGCGAGCCTGAAGGGTTTGGGCCTCTGATTTCATGGGCAATGGCCTATTCCTTACTGCAGAGAAATAGCTTTGCTGCCCCTTTGTCGTTTTGAGAGCACCGGGCCAGATGTGCTTCCATAACAGTGTTTGAGGCTCACAGTGGCATGGTGCTCTCAATCAGAGTTGGTCTCCATCCAAAAGGCCCCACATCTCAAATGTGGTCGAGTTTGCAGCAGCTGCAGCTGCCGAACAGAAGACACAAAGCACACTTTTGGGATATGGGAAGGCTTGTGAAAAAAAAAAAAACCCTGACTGGTTGTAATGGGTTTTCCAGTCACTTCTGCTGCATGTCTCTGGGGCCAAGCACATCTCTTTTGTTTGCCATTTATGAGAAGGTCTGAAGTGCTGATCCAGGCCACGTGGTGAGATGCCTTACAGGTGCGGAGTGTCTGTCTGCTCTCATTACTGGGGCTCCATTATAACCTCAGAGCAGTCCTAACTCAACATCTAGCGCAGTCTATTCCGTATGTGTGTGACAGACAAATTATATATGTAAATTACTATGTGTCACACTTCCTATACTGGCGCTATGACCGTGGGCAACAACGGCAAAAAAAGGATAGGCTATATACATTTTTCATCCACTCCCACCAACCTTTTGTTCTGACTTAACATGGGGTGTTAGGGCCCTCAAACACCTCCATAAATTTGCACCAAGGGGTCCAATTCACAGAGCTAACAATTAAAAGGCAAAAACCAGTTTCTAGTGGAACCCAATTATACTAAACATACGAACAATTCTAGTCATACTAACCAATGATACAGGACGAGAAAGTTGCTCATCTACTTCCAAAGTGGAAAACTTTTCACAAAGAAGGATAATATGTGTAGGGTATCAGACCGAATCAGACAATTTAAGATTTGATAAAGAACAGTTGAAACACGAGGAGCCGAATTCCACAGAGGCCCAAGACACAGGATGTTCGTAAATCAGATCCTGGCGCCACAAGCCTGAACCAACTAGCAGCTTTGAGTAGCTCACAGCATTTAAACAAAAGAAC